GCTGGCATCTGATTTTTTTTATATTCTATCTATCTATCTATCTATCTATCTATCTATCTATCTATCTATCTATCTATCTATCTATCTATCTATCTATCTATCTATCTATCTATCTATCTATCTATCTATCTATCTATCTATCTATCTATCTATCTATCTATCACCAGTATGTCCGTCCATCCGTCTTATTTTGTAAAATTACATAATAAAACACACCCGTTTACCTCTGCATACTAACTCTATTAATGTATGAATAACAAGTCAGAGGAAAACTTTACATTAAAACAGAATCAGAAGATTTGGATAGTTAAAAGGAAGAATAACTGAATATATAATTTATTTATGAATATATATTTATTTATGATTTATGTGTGTTTATTGGACCACGACTTTAGAAGTGCTAGACTTGGCTGAATCAATACACAGAGGTTTTATGTTTTTATGATGAATATAGAACTTTATATAATGAGTACAAGATAGGATAAGGGAAAATTTTTTTTATTTACAGGCAAAATCAAATTCAGATAAAAGAGAATTAATAGATATGCACAAGAACAGCAAAATGTGGACAAGAAACCATTACCAGCCCTGTAATTTATAATTTTTTTTTCAGTTTTCAAGCAAGCTTTTTTTTATTAGCCAGAGTAAAGACTTAACTTTCTGTTCTGCTTGATTTAAGTGCTATTTGTAAAAACATTTGTCTTTCCCTGTTTCACCAGATGCTTCAACCTGACTTTCACATTTTCTATGCTAGATTAACTTTTTAAAACAAACAAAACAAGAAAAAAAATGTGAATCGGCTGCAAGGTGAGACACCTCCGCTGTCTGCCACTCTGACTTTCCTTGATGTTTTACTTTGAAGTCTCACTGAAGTCAAGCTAAACATAATGCTCCACTAGCACGCAACATTTAAACCAAATCTATTTGGTCATTGTATTGTCTTAGTGTCTAATTACCACAGTCAATGCTTCTCATACAGCTTTGTGTAAAGCTTGCTGCATTTAAATACAAAATTGCAAATAAAATATTATCCTTAGAAAATGTCAATACTGTCTATGTGTTTAGTAGGCGGCAAACAAGAGAGTAAACATTTTCCAAGGCAAATGGGCTGATCTGTGGGACAGAAAAGAAATGATTGCTGAGAGATACACGTCTTCCACCCGCACTCTTCGTAGTTGTCTCTTAAAATTGCTTCCAGCTTATTTTGGTCACTTTACACCTTTTAATATTACAGGCCTCACAATATAAATATAGCTACACAAATAACACTGTGCAGGTCTTAATTTTAATGATAGCTCTTCAGGCACTCTGATGTTTAACAGCAACAATGTTTTGTGGGAATTGGGACTGTGGGACAGAACATATATCCTGAAGGCATTAGCCTCAGCATAACAGGTCTGACAATGCCCAAGGCTTCGAAGCATGCAGACTGTGCAGATCTCCCAGAAAGTTGAAGGTTAAAACTATGTAACTACCTCTTTAGGAGTTTTTTTTTTTTTTTTTTTTTAATGCCACCTAAAATTCACCAGGTGCAGCTTTTAACTGCAGATTATCAGGTGCCCGGAGCATATTTTCATTTCCTCTGACTGACCTAAAAAAAGAAGGCAGTAAACATAATTGGAGGGAAAGAGTGAATAATGCACTGGTGAGATTTACTGTGATGTAAACGAGGGAAGGAAGAAAATAGAAGACACACATATTGATGGCTCAAGGTCATATTTTAATACATTTTAATGTTCATGAAGCAATACACAACAAAAAACAGGTAGACAAAAAAATCATAACATAAAAATTGTTGGCATGCAGATAATTTTTATTTTATTTACAGCCATTTTACCAGCAATGCACAAAATAAAGACAGCTAACAGCCAGTAAATTGAATATGAAGACTAAATAGATGTAATAGAATACATTATGAGAGAAAATGATGTTTAAACGTGATTCTTTCATGTTTAGGTGGAAGTGGAAGTGAGAGCAGTCCCCTGTTCCTGCTGAACTGAGCCAGCCGACGTCACACACTGATTATCAGCACAGCAGGCACAGGAGACTGACCCAGCGGGGGTGAGAAAGGGGGACGACAGAGGTAATTTTTCACACACAGACAGACACAATCACACATGATCACACAAACAGGCAGTGGTGCTCATTTAAAGAAAGAAAGAAAAAAAAAACAGGTGGAAGTGTGAGGAAAACGTGAAGATAAGCAGAAAGTCAAACAAACACCCACTTTTTCAAAGCAACCTGGACAACCCAGAGAAAGAAATTATGACAAAGAGGACACACAGCTCTCCCTACAGGGACCATGCAGATTCGCCGTTAATGAGACAGCTGACATTTAGCAGACACCAACACTGATGGGGCACAAGTTCAGCAAAAATTAACAGATTACAGCTTATTTCTTGAAACGCATAGATGGCAAACCATTTTTTTTTTGTTCTGTTTGTGTTTAAACAGACACACACACACACACACACACACACACACACATAGATTGTAATATGTCGGCTTCTGACAGCACTGTACTGTGAGTCATCTGTGAACCCATGTACTCCATCACACATATACAGTCAGCTCTGAACATGTGGGGTTGATTTGGAAATAACGAGGTGTGAGACTGAGTTCGGAAAGTTAAAGAGACAATTTGAGAAAACCTCCCATTTTATTGACATCTGATTATTTCTCAAACAAAATAGAGAAAACAACCAAAACAATTTTCACGTCTTTACTCATTATGGTTTAAAGAGAGCGACGGATACCAACCAAATCTCCAGAAAATGACAGTAATTAGAATGTTTTTGAGATTTTGCAGAATTATTGAATTAAGATTTTTTAAAAGGAGGTTCGTAATCTTAACATCTCATCTGGGATATTTTCCTAGTGTCTTTGTTTCATATAAACTAAGATAATAAAATCAGAGACAGAGTTGGACTAAAAACGACTGCTGCCTCCAAAATATTAATGACAGAGTAGAATCTTTTTCAAAAACGGACGTGACGATGACAGTACATCTTTACATGGATGATGATAATTGTTTTTGAGGTCAGAGGCATCACCCCATGGGATCTTCCAGCTTTAATTAGAGTTCAGTAATGTTAAATGTTCTATTCTCATTTTATGAATAATAAATAAAGACTTTCTCTGACTTCCATTTCTCAAAAAAATCCTCTAATGTAGACGTAGCTTCACTTTAAAGGGTTATGAAAGAGTGATCACATAAACCACAGTAACTGTCATTGTTAGTCTCCAGGGAAACGTATCTGGATTTATCTGGATACCAAATGAAGACACCAAGTGAAGGCTGCACTTCAGATAAGATATGCAGTTCTCATTACCTTTTAACTAAACCTTGCTCCACTTACCTTTAGGGTACTTACAGTATGTCCCCCCCAGCGTTTTATTGTCATTACACTGTCACAAGTACAGAGCAATGAAATTAACTCTCTGCATTTAACGCATTCCCTTGGGGAGCAGTGGGCCGCCATTGTCGGGCACCCGGGGAGAAGTGTGGGGTTAGATGTCTTTGTTCAGGGACCCAGAGAGGCAGTGTGTGGGAGTGGGGCTCAAACTCAGAACCTCAGGATTCCACGCTCTATACCCTAACCACTATGCTGCTACTCCCTAGGAGCACCCTGTAGGAGTATTAGGAGTGTATTTAACTGCTCTGAAAACTTTATTCCACTTTGTTAAATTAATCCATAAACCCTCTAAATAAAACATAGTTTAATATCATGATATAACTTCAGGAAGAGATAGCCTGACGCTTGGAGAGGGCACCTTTAAAAAAAAGGACTTCTGACCAATGCACCTGCATGCATTGATCTAAGCCTTCATAGTTAACAGAGTCCCAATTTAAGACTTATTCTGTGGCTTGTGTCTGAGCTGGGACAACCTATACACACAATAACTGTTTTATTTTTTTTAAAGATTCTGAAAGCAGCATCAAAATTTCACTTCTCTTAACATTTTTATACTCTCTGTGGCATTGGAAATATCTTAAATAAGGTCCTGGCCAAGACAACAACCACACATATCAGGGCTTCTGTTTGTAAAAAAACAAAAAAACAGCTGATACATAAAAAAAAAAAACACAAATAACGCAGTGATTTAAACACAGTGACTTCTAAAAAAGAGCAACGATATTGCTCTTTCACTGTATTATTTCCATCTGGAGTCCTATTAGTTTGGTTCAACACTTAGTAAGTTGCTACATAAAAATGAAACTTATGAGTTGACTGTGGTTTTAGTTATTCATGAAAAAGTTGGCTGTCTGGTCTTTGATGATGAGAATCGAGTGTTTGAGGTTGGAAGACCTTCATCTTTGACTCCCTGCACACATTCTTCTTGTGATTCATGACAGTCAAGTCAGAATTTTTCCAGTTAATTGAAACATCTAGACAGCTGTGCTTGTTGTGCTTTAATTATGTATCCCAATTTTTTGTAACACTGTAAAATGTGAATTATTTCAATCATAACTATTAAGCATTATTTCTGAATGATTTATTTATCATGATCACCCTTATAAATGATACAATAAACCAATAAAGCAGAACCTCCTGCCATATTTCAGGTGGGTATTTTAAATTCAAGAAAGGATAATGTGATTAGTATGGAAATTATATATGTAAGAAACACAATTTAAATAATTGAAAATATTCCAAATGAGCACTTTATTCTTTTACTTATTTCATAAATCAACAAAAGGGAGTGTCAATCAAAACATTTTTGCCATCTAGAAAAATGATATCAGTGTTTGCTCGCTGGATACCTGCAAAACTGGATATTATACATGCAGAAAGCTGAAATGGTGAAGCGTGGGCGAATAAGAATGGTGACCTGAGAGAAAACATGCAGACATCGCTGTAATAGCCTGATAGATAACTAGTTAATGCAACACATAAATGTAATACGTGGAACATTATCTGTTAGTAAAATCTTGAACTAAGTAATTGTTTTTGCTTCACTCTAATCTTTATGCAGGAAGATTTATGAGTCATGCTGAGTTTTTTTTATATTTGATACAGCCGTGGTATGAAGTGTGATGCTCATCTGTAGAGCTTGTTGCCCCTCCCTGACCTTTAGTCTCCCACCTGCAGGCTGTAGCCCTGTGGCGGCAGAACTTAACCACTGTGAACATGGAAGGCACTCACTGTTCACATGTGAGTTAAGTCCTGCAGCCGCACAGCAAGGCTTGAAAACCAGCATCTGCCGGTGACGTTTGTGTTGGTGTGTGAACATGCAAATGAAAAGCATGGGTGTGTCTGTGAGTGAGGTAGTAATTTTGAGTCTCTGTGTGTTTGGTGCGTTCGTGAGAAGGTTGCTGCTTTTCTTCGTGTCAGCCATTGGAAATCCCTGGCAATGTGATTCAGTCCTGTAGTCTCAAAAATCACTCTACCAGGAATTCCCCTGGCCAGCAGAGACGTCTAGGTGATTCGTGGCAAAAAGGATCATGCAAACCTATGAATAATAAACACCAAAATAGAGCTCCAGCGTCATCTATACCCTTGATGTATTGTCCCCCCGGCTGCCTTCTTACGCAAATCCTCTCTTTTATGTGTCTTGGTAAACTCTCAGGTTAGAAAGTGTTATATGTGTATACATGGCTCTCTTCTGCTCCCCTCGGCCTCTTATAAAAATAACTTGTCAATGACAGAATGGAGAGTTGGTTAAGAAGGAAGTGGCACTCCCTATAAAGTCGACTACCCTTTTTGTTCTGCCTCATTATCTGTGGGTCTTGTGTGGAAAACTAGGAATCAAGTTGAATTCTTTCTGCTTCTTGTTATCCCAAAAAAGAAAAGAAAAACCTAAATGAATCACAGGATTTTGAGAATATCTCTAAAAGAAAAAAGCAATACTACTCATTTCAAAAGTAACTATATCATACTCTAAGTTCCCTAATGTGCCATTTCCCTAAAGTCGTTTTTTATTTTCAGCCACATTAATAATCCGCCGTCTGCTAGGTGTTAGTCAGTGGGACACGTTTGGGGAACTCCAGAGTCTAAATGGGTTTCAACCATCCGCCCTGTTGGAGATCTGCTCTAAACGCACGGGGAAGCTTTGGCTCCGCAATCAGCATCACTGATCTGTTGCAGTTTCAGAGAGCTTTGCAAAATAGTAGAAAACTTCCTCTTAAATAAACCCAAAATAAACAAAAGTACTCCAACAAGGAAATTTTTTTTTTTTAGTCCAATGAACTCATAAAATAAAACAGTGATTTCATCGGCTTTGATTGCTTCTGAGTAGTGCATTGTCTCATTTTGTTTACAAGCACATTACAAAAGTATCTGTGGATGGCATGGGCAGAATGACATTCAAGAAAAGGTTGTATTCTATCAATAAAAACAAATTTGATTTTTCGCTTCGGACGTTTTACTTGGTTTCAGTTCTATGCCAAAATACATCCACCTGGTCACAAAGAAAAAAAACACCAAGGTCGCCTAAGGTCCCAGCACCCTTCAAAGACTGCGCACTAACTCCCCTTTAACTCCTCTCCCCGCTCAACCTTAAACCCTTCCATCCCTCCCTCCTTTCATCTAGTGGTGGCTCGACTCATGCTGTTATTTTGTCTGCCTTTTCATCTTTTCCAACCAGCCCCCCCAACCCCACCCCTTCACGCTCCCTCCTTCGAACCCACAGCCATTAATGTCTATGAGCTCATTCCTTCCCTTTTCCTCTGTAATGACGGCGTATTCGGTTGACAAGGGCTGTCCAACACCTCACCTCAAGTACTGGCTTGAAGAATCTCAACAGAGCTTATGTCCCCCCCCCTTTAATGCTGTTCTCATGCCTCTTTGTAATTAGGTGTTTATTGTGGTAAGAAACAATCACGCAAAGTTTTGGCACGTGGGTTGCACAAATGTGCCGACGTGTTGCATCTTGATGTAAGTGTTGAGTAGGAAAACTTGCATCACTGGGTGATGATTTCCAGCAGATGCACTCTAGTAAAGTCAAAGGTTTTCTTTTGCAGTTTTCGTGCACTATGGCCTTGTTTCTAGATTTTTTGATGGCTTAGGGTGTGCAGTTTACATTATGTGTGTGTTCCACTCTTCATACACAGGATATATAGAGATCCAAGTGCAGACGTGGCCACTGGCTGCTTTCCCTTCAGCGTGAGTCCCGATTTGACATTGTCGTTTACACAAGGCCGCACAGTTAAGTGGAAAAGCCTATGTTGAGACAGCTGGATCTTGACCTCTTGTTGTTTCAACACGTATCAACCTTCCTTTCTATGGCTCACAGGCTGAATCTACCTCTCCAAGCACAATATGCTCACCATCAGCAAACAAACAGGGTTATGTCAGTGGGGCTGCTGGGCAAACATTGTTTGTGCCTTAGCTGGGATTTCACTGTCTCATTAATGGGTAAAAGTGCAAATACATAAAATCACACATGGCTTTTACCTTAAATTGTAAAATACTTCTAACTTGACAGGGAGACTTAAATTTAAAGTATTTTAATCCATTCCTCATCTTGGAAAATTCACCCGTTCGATAACTCGTATACCTGTTTTTATCTCAAACAATTGTACATAATTTCTTTTTTCTTTGCATTTCAGTATTTTACTGAATTTGGGGAATTAATGATTTTTGAAATGTTGAAATCTTAAATTGAAAGGAAAATTAATTTTTAACTATTTTCTAAAAGACGTACTTTATCACCCCATAATTCTATTTATCTGTTTTGTCTGATGACTCATTTGAATAATGACAAATTTGTAGCCCTATTCTAACCTAATATGTTGAAAGCGGTATGTTTTGGTAGAAAATATTTACTACACTCATAACACAAGACCTGAAACAAGTATATAAGCAGAGCAGTAGAATATGAAAAAAATAAAATTGTTGGTTGTCAAGGCGGCTACAAGAAGTCGGATGGCTCCGTTTCATTCCAGTAAAAACTGAGAAAGACGCAATCAAAGCTACAAAAAGTCCACCTTGGCAAGGGAAAAACATGATCAGTGCTCCTCCAGGTGTAATGGATGAGGATTCAAGTCAGGGCTTGAGCTGAAAGCTTACTATAACGTCGGAACTCCTTTTCTAGAAAGCAAACATACAATGTTTGCTTTTCATAACTGCCGCCATATCCATTACACTTCTACATACTCAACTTTTTCAATTTTAAAACGTGTAGACTAAATCACCAAAGTTATTCTCCACATCATTTAGTTTTACAATAGATCCATTACTCGAATGTCTCAGGCCTCCACTTAATAGTTGTTTTAGTACAAAAGCAAAACTACTGGAAAACCGTAAGGCACATCCCTGGATCTTTGAACTTACACACCTTACACAGCACCACACCTTAGCTCACTAATCATACAGGGCACGTCTCGGTTTGTGTGTGTGTATGTGACCGAGGTTCTGATTTTGTTTCAAGTTGCGTGTCAGGGTGTAATTATTTCAAAGGCCGTGACATTCAGCGACATTCAAACAAGGGATCTGGGTCCACTGCGGGCCTAATCTGTTGCAGTTTTCTGGAATCAAAGGCAAACAGTCACCGCCTGGCCTGGACTCATTGGAAGAATGTGCCACATGTGGGACATTAGTCGTTTAAAAAAAAAAAGAAAAGCTTTAAAGGGTTGTTGTGCTTGAGCGAAGAGCCCAGCCCAAGCTAGTGGTCCACTCCCTGTAGCCCAGTGCTTGTAACCCTATCCTCAGCCTGGTTCATAGCCAAACACCCTCACCACCACCAGCCCTGTACTTAGTGCACAGCTGCCCTGTTGCCATTGAACCGCACATGCACGAATGGCTGCAGAGGCTATACTCATACACTTTTATTCCACTACGCCACCGTTTCCTGAGCCAGGGCCCAGTCGTACAGATTCCTGCCAGGCACACCCACTCACCCACCCAACAACCTCACCAAAGCTTGTCTGGATCTTCACCCTCCCTCCTGCTACTCTTCCATCCCTCCATCCAAACATTCAGCCATTTAACCAGCAATTTGTTTTCTTAGAACTCATTTAACCTCTCTTCATTCTTTAATCTTAAGCCACAATCAGACACACTGAAAACTGAATAAATTATCTTATTAAATGTGTTTCATCTTGACCCTTATCTCATCTGTCCTTGCTGCGTCAGCCTCATGTGAACTTCCTTCTGCTCTTTTCATGTCGTTCACAACCTGATTTAGTTTTACCACCACCCTCAAGAGAAGAACCAGACAGGACAGCGGACAGGGAAACAGAGACAAGCAGCCCTTAAGTGCAGCTGAAACCTTTTCAGCTACAGTTGTGGCTGGATTCTCTTCCTTTCATGGAGGTTTCGGAGCACGCACACTTACAGGGCCTCTGAACAATGAGAGGAATGTCTGAGGCAGCCCCGGCCCTGCTTCGGCACTGCCATAACACCCCGTCTGCTGCTTTTTGAGAACTTTTTATGACCTTTGTTCACACTATATGGTGCCAGCAAAACACCCAGTGGGGAGAGCGTACACGGTCTTGAAAGAACAGGCACACAACAAATATAGGCAGATAAAGAAAGACGGAAAGGGAAAGCAGACAAACAGGTAGAGGCTAAACAATTAAGCAGTCAATCACTCAGATGACTGGTAGACTCTAAATCAACAGCAAACGCAGGCAGCCATGCAGAAAGTCAGCCATCCCATGCAAAGGAAGTATTTACATCTGACCTTTGTAATGGAGCTGCTCCACAGAGGCAAGCCACACAACAGGGTAATATTCCAGTGCTAATATCACTGTACATTCAGGAAGACTTTACACACATTCTGTACCGATCAACAGGCTGCAGCAGCTTCTGTAGAGTCTTTCCCTGTCAAAGATCAGTAGTTCAAGAGGAAAAAAGTCAAAGAAAATTATGGGTTTTCCACAGTTACATCTATCCACAGTAACATATGTACATAAAAGTAAAAAGGAAGACAAGAAATCCTCAAAGAAGAGGCAGACGTGATGCTACACCAACCTGAAATAAGAGTTTTTATTCCTGCTCTCTGCCCCGGGTTTATTTCTCTCCCGCTTTCCAGCGTCACCCTGTAAAGTTGAAGTTCAAGAGTTTTGCGCCTGTCATTCTTTTTGTCCTCTTGTCGACTGGATCCTGCTCTGGCTGCGCAGACAGGAGCGTGTGTGAATGCGAGAGTGTCTGGGAGCCAGACAGGGTGTGCAGAGTAACCGAGTAGGCGGGTTCACATGCAGGGAATTCCTACCTCTTCACTGAAGACGTCAGAGAGGACGCACCCTCTTCTCTCCCCCTGCCTGTCCTTTCCAGTTGTGCTGTGTACTGCCAATACTGCTGCTGGAACACAGGCCGGGGGGCTCTGAATTAATCGGCCCTCTGCTGCTAATACAGGAGCAGAGGCAGTTTGAGTCAATAGCCAACAGGAAGAGCACAGAGAAATGTGCAAGGTACAAAAATACAGATGTGTCCTTTGCTGTATACGATTCAAATTGGGGAAGCTGTAGTTTAGATATCTTTGTATTTTTTATGATGATCAACTCATCTGAGTATGCTATTATTAAATGATGATAAAATCTTATTATTTTAGTATAATAATAATAATAATAAATAATAGTAAAAAAATTTTTTACATATCAGACAAATGTGCCAACAATAGGGATTTGCAATATTAGAAAAAGCTGAAATTACAATATAATTGTTAAACACTTATATTGCAATATTGATTGCATATCTAGATCTAACTGGCTTACATAAATTTGAATGCAAGACATCTTCAATGAAACACCCCTGCAATATTAAGGAGCCCATTATGAACGCGATGGAGAGCTTATTGAAGTAGCAATGACACTGATCTAAATGTTTTCATGTGCTCTACATTATTTAATAATCGCTCTGACATTTGATTATATGTTTTTAGCAGATGAAAGGTGGAACTTTGCATCCTTTAGTTTTCTAGGATAAGCTTCTATTTAGTTGCATTCAATATCTTCCAATCTCTACTCAGCGTCTGTGTTCCTGCTAAATAGAAGATGCCCAACAGCATTACGCTGCAACCACTGAGGAGGTGGTGTTTTTAGGGTTAGTTATCCCCAACACATGGTGTTTTGCATGTATTCAGAAATGTTCAAACCTGGTCTGACCTGATGACAGAACCTTTGAGTTTTTCCTGTTTCTGTTTTTTGACAATTTATCTTTCTTTATAAAATAGTTTTGGCTCTTGTTCGCTTTTAAATGCAGCGACGGGGAGCACACAGTTCATAGTCCTCTTGACAGAGTCTCTCACCTGAATTTTATTTTTGGGCAATAAAGTTAGAGTTGTCACAATAATAAAATTCCATACTCGATATTGATACCTAGAAAAATATTCAGTACTAGATACCATTTCCGATTCCATGGGAATAAAAAATGCCAAGTAATTGAAGACATAATAAACATATTTATTGACATGAAAAACTTCCCTTTTTTAATCTCAACATGGCACATGCTTTCTAACAGAATCCCAGATTATATTAGTGCACAAATAAATGCAAAATAAACAGCCCAAATATAAAACAATGACAACATTTTAAGGTTGTCTGAGGTGTTCTTCTTTTAAAGGTCAAGTAGTTTAGAAATCTAAAATTACCAATAGCAAAAATGTGCAAACACTTGTATTTGGGGTCGATACCCCAAATACAAGTATTTGGATACAGTGTTTGAGTATAAAAACCCTATTTAAATGACAGTGGTGCTGAATACTAATAAATACTAGATTTGATAATTTACATTTTATAGAACAGCATGTAGTTATCTTTTGTAATTTTTGAACTGTGTAACATTTTTTCTCATTAAACTCTTGTAATTTGGTCTTGTCTGCAATGACAACAGTTGTTGAGTTTTATTCTATGGAAATTTAAAAAGAATGTATAGAACAGCAAAACAGGGCCAGTTTATTTCCAGATCTGCAGATTTAAGTCTGAGATCAAGGTTTAGATCAGGGGTGTCTGCAACCTCTGCAATTCAAATAGACACCTTTGCCATCAGGGCTAAAATATAAAGTTTGTCAGGAGCAAAAATAAAAGCCTGGGAATTATTCATTATTAAGATTTTTTTTTTCATGTTTTCTCTATTTTTAGAATTTAGAAGAAAACTAAATTCAACCTTTACAAAGAAACAATATTTTGTAGAATGAGGAGAGCTAAGTAAGCCACCATAAATATAAGAGATGAAGAAGGATAACTAACACATCTAAACGTTTAAAGCACATAGGAAAATCTAAAAAAAAAACAAAACATTCAGTTACTAACCCTTATAGCATAATGCTGTAGATGTTTTATGCATATATTCCATGAAAGCATAAAGAAAAAAACCTTCTTATTGCTTTGAAAATTAAAATATTTCCTCATTTGGCTACATTAGACCCAGAGTAAAGGGGCCAAAGAGACGTTTGTTGCTTTGGAGCCCCAGGTTGCAGACTCCTGATTTAGACGATAGCTAAAAATCTTTATATCTGAAAACTTTAACTCTAGTCTGAGCCTTAGACCTTTCTGAGTTTTGGCTGTTTGTGCATGGTCTGATCAGCTCATGTCAATAACAGTTAACACCTACAAACACACACACTCCCTTCACAGCAGCTTTCTCCACAGGGGTACAGTAACACAAGATGCTGAGAGGGGCTATTAGACATTTTACAACTTCCCGTTCTTTCCCCCAAAGCCTCAGGCCATATGTGAGAGAGAGGCAAAGTCCTGAGCAGACGACCACGCCCCTGAACGACAGCGTCACACATTCCACACACATTTTCGTCTCCAAGCAACGCATACACTCAAAACTTAGTGAAATAGCTGTGCCAGTAAAACACATGACCGCGACACGTCGCTCATGTTCAGATGGGATAATGTTTTGTTTGTGGACTTGTGTTTCTATGTTGTCTTAACTGAGGGGATTTACAGCTTTGCATAACAGTCACTGCAACAAACACATTGACTGTTGGATTGTTAGTCAGCAATACAAACATGTGCTATATGTAAATTTATGTTTTATATACATTTTTCTTTCTTCTCTAGGTTTCCTTCCCTCTTTTAATCATTGCACTACATATATGTGCTTTTTGTTTAGGAGAAGCCAACTGCCCCTCTGTGACCCAGCGAAACATTGTAATGCATGAACAAATATTGCAATACACATTTAAATCGTTTTAACTGTCATGAAACAAGAAAAGAAAAAGAACCCTCTGGAGATCAAAACCATGTTGCGTGCTGTGCACACTCTCTCGTCATCCTCCGCTATACAGACACGATAATTTGTGGCAACACACGCAAGCCCAATACTGTAATGACTGAGATGAAAAAGATCTGAAACGGAGATGCTGCTCATCACGAGAATCGTCGAGACTGCTTTCATTTCAAACCAATACCAGTTCTTTCAGTCTGGCTGAAATATGAGCCAAAAAATGTTGGTATGAAACTGTAATCAATGCCACAGCTTTCGACTTTTCCATCGGTTGCTTTTGGTTCTTCTTTTTTAGTCCAAAGTCTGGTGCTTAATGTTCTTTCTTGCAGGCCAAGAGAAGATATTTGAAGAGTACCGTTAAATGAGCAGACTTTGCCTCCCTGTTCTTACAGTACGCCTGTTCTCTGGTCTTTATGATACGGCACAATGCTATCAGTTTGGTGTTTTCTATTTTGCAACGCTGACTTTCTAAGTTCCTTGATGTAACTGTAGTGAAGAATGTGGGTTTTTTTTTATCTAGTGATGTCAAAAGTACTTCAACTTTAGTAAAACTTGATGAAACTAAACTGAAATATACTACAGTCGGTACTCCTTTGTTCAAAGTACAGGTCCTCTGTATACAATGAATATGAAAACTGGATGTGTGTCTGTACACATGTTTTGGTGTCTTGTAAAGATACATGTGTGTCACTATGGGAGCAGTTCATTTGGTGATATTCCAAATAATCCGAATGTTTAACAGTTAGTCACACACTAAATAACTATTCTGGGCCGCTGATCTGAACGATATATTATATCAACTTCTATCTGGTTGTTATGGTAATTATACAACAACAGCAGAGAAAGAAATGCTTTAACTCAGAGAAAGTGTTATTAGGCGTGTCAGCTGATCCGAAAGGTACCAGCCCTCCTTACCAAACCAGACACATAGACAAAAGGCCTATTCTTATAAACGTGGACATTTTGTTCTGCAAAGAAATTAATAAGTTAACATCAGTTTATTGCTAAAAGTTGTTTATGTTTATAAAAGATATGGTATGTCAAGTATTATTTTCTTTGAAAACAGATTGCAGTGACAGTAATTCTTCATTTACAGATATCTCACTCCAAGCTTCATTCTCTGATGTAATCTCAAAGAAACGGTTTATTTCACAGACCTCACCGCTGTCTTGCTGTCCCCGTATGTTCTGCATCGCATGACTTTCTATCTCGCCTTACCTACATAGTGCCATAGTTTCAGTCCATGCAACCTTTATGTCTTGAATCACAAAGATGCAAAAGAAAGTACACCTTTCCATCAACACTCTTAACACAGTCATCACATCTGGGCATTTAATCATACTGCTGCAATTGCAGATTGTTATTTCTTTTATGAACTCATACCTTTTCTCAGTTTTATCCTTACATACTTTCTGCAGGCCTGCACATGCTTCTCTCCTCTCCTTTATACGATTTTGACCAAAGTGGCCTACGCCTTTAAAAAAGATATTTGCATTGTAAAATGTGTTTCATTAGCCTTTTAACCACAACAGAATCCAGCCAAGTCACTGTGTGGACCTTTTCTACCACATAGCTAAGCGTTCAAATACATTTCCATGATATTTATTGTGCAAACGTTGAGTAGTCTCAGCTTATGTTTCATGCATGCCTCTGTAACCTCCTAATTATTACCGTAGCAACAGTGGATAATTAAATATGTAAAGATGTTAACAAACATCTGATAAACTACAAACACCTATAGCGGCTTTAGCTAAACCTTTTAGATGTTATACCTATAAGTTCAGATTTGATAGGTATTTTTACTTCATTTTCATGCTTTAAGCTGTTGCCCTCTGGAAGAACATTCTTCTGATTTTACATTTTAGAATTCTAAAAACTTACAACAAGTGCATCAAGACTTTTTTTTTTGTGTGGTGAGTTCTATGTGTGTATTTCTATTATGGGGAATTTCCATGCG